GAATGCAGAGTGAATGCAGAGTGAATGCAGAGTGAATGCAGAGTGAATGCAGAGTTCAGGAGCTCAAGAAGTTGAAACCAATACTGAGCAAAGTTTGTAGCAAGAGCAGGGTTTAAGTATGCTTGAAGAGCTACTAGTCAAAAGGTGATTGGTTGGCCTATGCCTCTTCTGAGAGGATGCGGTAGACACCAGAGGTTACATTGCCCTGTGGAGGCGGGATGCTGGGACTGTAACAATCTGCTGTCTTGAGTCCTGGGCCCTCTCAACTGCTGCTTCCAGAAAACACTCTCCTTCTCACAGGCCATTTTCATCATAGTTAATCTCGACAGAACTCCATGTAATTAGCACTCAGTGAAAACCAAAGAACATTTTCTCCAGTATGAATGTTTCCATTCTGTTGTGTTCTTTTCATTTTCTGGGTACTGAGTAAGTACAGTCTTTTCAAATTTTCCAAACTAACTAAATGCAGTGCGTGGTAAATAGAAAAAAGTGATGCAGCATGTTCTTTCACATTTCACATTCTGATGCCTACAGAATGACTGCAATTCTGGTAAAAGGCCTTTAAAAAGTCAGCTGCGTTTTATTTCTGAGCTACCAATGATGGCGTTTAACATTAAGAATCCTTTGTTGTTCTTCACTGGCAGCTGACCTTTGATGTCAGGCTTTATAGATGAGCTCACGATAAACAAAGATGTACCTGTATAACTTGAGAGTTATGGTCCCATAAACTGTAGCAAAACCCAAAAGACGAACCCATCGTAGAAGAATGCAGCGGAATACACTCGGCTGAAAGTATAAAATGATAACCTAAAAAAGACAGAAAACACTTTTAGAACAATTTTAGATTTTTTTTCAATGCCTAAAAATATACACATTTCCAGTAAGTACAAATGCAAACATTACTTCAGCTACATTTTACTCCACTGTAAAATATTCAGCTGGTGTTAAAGTTCACCTTTCCTTATTTTTGTAGAAAATCATCAGAGAATCAGTCAATCATTCAAACCGCAATTAACTTCTTTAACAAATCGAAATAATTTCCTTAAATCAGGCTGTCTTACCACGAACAGATTAACGCCATGTAAGGACAGTCATTCAATAAATTAAAGGCATTAATGTAAACAATTCAGTGTAAAATAAAAAAATAACACCTCACTTTTGGTATGAAAATATACCATGGTTTATCATAAATAATATTCCATCAAAACCTATAACAAGTTAATGGGGGGAAATACATCAAAATTTAATTATAAAACACATTTAGAAACAAAACATTTCACAAAATAGCATGTCTGTAGCATTCATATGCTACAGTATATGAATTTGTACACTTGTCAACTGCGAATCTGTAAGGCGTAGTTACGTAGTTAAAGTACTACACAACATGTACTGAGATGAATAAATATCCCAAAAACAAAAAAAATCTAGAATACAAATACATATAATTTATAGATTTTGAAAACTTTCAATCTGTTTTGTTTAAAAAAACATTCTAAAGATACAATAAATACCCTTCTTGTAAAAGAAGCAAGAATTGAGGACTTTGACTCAGATCTTGAAGACACTGTGTGTTTTCAGTGATGGGGATTTATAAATAGTTGTTACTGCATGTGGGCAATTTCGTTTCATGACATGGAAAACACTGAAATGTAATCCTGCATCAGCAAAGATTGGCAAAAAAGTGCATGTGTGATTCCAGAGAATAAATGCCTTAACTGAAGCCTTCTTCTGCACCATTTCCTCATCCATGTGTTGTGTTGCTGGTTTTGCCTTTGTGCTTGGTTTTGTTTCCTAGTCTCGGAAGGCTTCTGAATCTGAATCTGTCATGTTCCTCAGCGTGTTCTGGATGTTCAATGTGCTGTTTACTATCGACGTCATTTTTGGCCACAGGGACAATAATTACTGGGTCATTGCCTTCCCTAGCTATCTGCCTGTGCACTCTGTGGATAAGGGATCAGTCACCTCAGCTCAAGGGAAACAGCGAAATGATGTTGTCTCACAGTCCCTGCTGCAAATCTCTGTTGCACATCTCACTTTACATCTCACAGATGCAAAGATCCCATGGGGACTCAACACCTTCTATTGTGCTGGATCAGCTTTTCTGTCAGGTAATAGTATAAAGGGCAAAGTGAAGAATTATCAGTCCTTATACATGGTATGTAGCCCGACTAGCTCTGCTGGTAGAGCATGAGACTCATAATCTCAGGGTACTGGGTTCGTGTCCCACGTCAGGCGCAAGGTTCTCTAATAACCCATACTGGGCAGCAGCAGTGTGGGACAGTGTTGATGGCGGAGGATCACGTTTCCGTGACAACAGAAACAACACTCGCACTCTCTGTGCGGAACAAAGGCCTGGCAATCAACTTCCATGTCTTGCCATGAAAACTCTATGGATAGTGACGGGGGAACCATCCACAGGGTCGCCATGAGTCGACACTGACTTGATGGCACTAATCCCATCCCATACATGGTAGTACGTTTGGTCTTCCAAGTACCAGGGGCTGTTCAAAGATAATACTGCTTACACTGAAAGGATGATCCCAGTCAGAGTCCCCAGGAGTTTTGAGGTGCTTTTCATGTACATTTTGTTCAATGTTTTAAACTGGAGTGTAACCAAGTTCAATAACCCTGTAGACCCCTCTGGAAGTTTTTCCAGGTTTTCTTCCAGATTTTGATGCACCAGAAAAGCCATAAAGATAGAACGGTTATTGTTCATTGTCACCTTTCAAGTATAATTAAAATCAAGTCCATGGCATTCCAGTGGAGTCATAGGTGTCACGATCGCAAACCCCTCCTCTTAAGGGCGCTCCAGCCCTTCCTAGTTCTCCCTCATTCTCCGCACCTGTTCCTTATTCCAGCCCCTTTTCAGTTCCCCCTTAAAAGCCAGACGCAGGCGATAATCGGGGCTCTACATTGATTCCTGTATCATGCGAGCCCGGGTCCTGATGCGTCTGCCTCCGTTATGCTTTTAACTTTCTGCTCCTGTTCCCGTTCCCCCTGGTTGTCCCGCCCCGGTTCCTGTTTTTAATCTCCCGTTCCGGATGGATCGCCTGGCCTGGACTCATGTTCGTTTTTGGATTCCCCGTTTGGACTTCTTCCTGGATTGTTTGCCCTGGACTCACTCCCCCTGGACACCTGCGCACTTTGGACACGCCCCCCTCCCCCGTATTCATTCCCAATTCCTGCATGACTTTATCCTAGTGTTTCCTCACTCCACCCCGGATTGTGTCGTCTGCATAGGGTCTGAAAAGAACTGTTCTTGACAATAGGTGAGTGAACAGTGACTGTCAAAACTGTGTGACCAGAATTCTGCAGAGAACAGCGAGACGTTCAGAGAGTGCAGCATTCATATTATCTAACAGTGGAAAAAGCACTTGAAACTGTTGTTGGAGAACAGATATCTGATAATTGCTAAAGAAATGAACATCTGTGGTTCTGCCGCACATAAGCAATCTAAACATCTGGCACCAATTTGCAGCGCTCAACCAGGAAATATTCAGTTTCTCTAATCAAACAGAGCTGCTCATAGCTACAGTAGATTCAGACTAGCTTCAAGGCCATACACATATACAAGGTATTTTCTATTTGAAGTGCCAATTGCTTAGCACTAATTAACTTTAGCTTGCTGAAAATAAAGCCCTCACTCGGTGGTATTTCCATTCCACAAGTCTTTCCCAGAGAAATGGAAATTAAACCATCACATTCGTAATGCAAGAAATCAAGTTAATGTACTATAATTTATCCCTACTTTTCGGTGAGGAATTAGAAAGGTTTCTCCCTGTAATACCTGTTAGTAGTTAGTTAATCCAAGGACCTCTTCCAGATAGAAGCCAGGATAGAGCCTCAGCAATATACAGTAAAGTAGCAGGGCAACTTGTCCTATACTCATTACTCGTACTCCCACAGCAATTAATTGTCCCTATTCTTGTTTTGTTTGCTATTTCACTTCGTAATGGTCTTTTATTCAGATGAAGATTAGTAAAGTGAAGGGGATCAATTTACTGTAGTCACGCCTGACCAAATGCCTGCATTTTGCAAACACGCAAGACTAAACTTGCAATCAAAGAAGATATGAATATCCATTGATTAGTACTTGGACCTAATAAGAAAACCAAGCTATGAAACCAAGTGACCTACTAGAAATTAAACTAATCTCTGAGATGACAGGGAGATTGTTTCCAGTGAATTTCATTAATTGTGCAAGTTTACTTCGTGGCACGACGAGCAAACAAAAGTGAAATTGTATGCTGTATGGTACAGTAAAAACCATCACTGACACAAACAATGTAGGGAATGAAGCCAAATGAAACTTTGTAAGTCATGACAAACAAATAAAAGATAATTTTAATCAAATTAAAGAAGACCATCTGAAGCCAAATAATTATCAGTGCTTTGCAGATATTTGACAGATTCACAAAAGGATTTATCGTTAATCCGATTATCACAGATATGAATATTTTCCCAAGGCAAATAATATGCAGGCATCCATTTATTTTCTCTCAATAGGTTTTATATCAGCCTGGGGTTTGAAACAAGCCTGTGGGGACCAAAAGTCTTTCTTCAAGCATTTGAATGCATATACAATACCAGGAGTGTTCAAGCATGGCTTTGTGTCTGACGTAACATGACAGAGCTACTGCACAAAGACATCTGGAGTCAGTGAAGTTTAGCTTGAATTGATGTCTTCTCATTTCAATCGTTTTAGTGAAATGTAGGAAGTTCTATAAGAGAGAGGTTCATTTTTATTGTTATGTAAAACAATTTCTGTGGCATGGTAGATGTAATTAAAAAAAACTTTTCAGGGATTTCTGTGCTTTCCATAAAACAGTATAGAGTGATTTGAAAAACTTTCAACTACTGTACATTTCTAGTGCTCTCGAGTTTCACTTTTAATAGTTTGGAATGACAAGTTTTCCACAGACAATGCTTTCATCCATCAGAAAACTGCTTTTAATACGTTTGAAACTGCTTTAAAAGTATGATAAAAAAATCCGGAACAAGTAGAATATAAAAAGAACAAAGACTAAAACCGGAAACGAAAAAATGTACAGTATTTTGAGGTGGTTTGTTGCCTTTTTTATTTTTTAGGAACTTAAGCTCAAATTTTGTTTCTTTGCTACAAATGCCTGTTTGTGAAATAAGAACCCAGTCACAACTTAAGCAACTTTGGTGATGAGCATGTTTTCTGTCAGTAATGATTTGTTAAATATTTCTGAAAATCTACAGTACATCAAAGAGGTTGGGAAATGTGATGTAATCTGTTCAATTTGTTTAATTTAAAAATCATGATTTTTAAGATGTACTGTAAATGGTAAAAAAGAAACATACTTCCATCTGACATACAGGTACCGTATATTAAACTTGCAATTGAAAGATGCCATTGCCTACAGAAAACACTGCTGGTGTGATGGGTGTCCACAGGCCTAATCTGCAATTCCTTGTACTGATTAATCATTTCACAAAAATTTAGGCCTAATGCTTAACATTTTATAGAACTAGCAGAAGAAAAAGTGTAAAGCAACTTTAAAGATTTGGCTTTAAGGTCAAAATGTGTATGACAAATATTTGAAAAGTACTACTGGGTCATTTTGCAGCAAATATCTATTGAAAAACATTTTCAGTGATCCATTCCTCAATACTCACAAACTGATCTTGGACTGTCAGCTTTAGTCTGTTCAGTAGCATTTCCCCATAATCTTTGGCATTACGGGTTCCATAACAAAGTGCAGGACACGTACTGTACTATTAAGCTTGAGATGCATCCCCTCACTCTATGAACTAGTGAGGTGATAATTATGTGCAAATAA